GCTGGTGATGTGCCTGGGACGGACCTGGGAGGTGGTCTTCACACACAGGCACTGCAGGTCCCCATCTCCTTCTTCAGCTTCAGCTGTGGGGGGAGGTGGGATGGGGGAGGGAAAGAGAAGGAGGGCAGGGAGTGGTGACTCCATGAGTGGCCAGAGGTACTTTAGGGACCTTTTCCACTACCTCCAGCCTTCTTCTCCTTAGCCATAAATCATACTTCCCTGGGAGAGAAGTTGTGCTGACCAGGTGGCGAGGTGCACGTGCAGCGCCTGGCACGGTGCCCGCACACTCAGCATGCGCGCACTAAGTGTAGCAGCGATCAGGAGCCTAGAGGACTCCTCCCCAGCCCCGGGGCTTCCCGGACCCCCCTCGCCGCTGCCGGCCCTCACAGCCTGGCTTCTGCTCTCACCGCTGGCGAAGGCGACCACAGCTGCCAGGAGCAGCAACCCCAGGAGCAGCAGCCCCGGGCGGGAGGCGCAGGACGCGGCAGCCGAGCTCATGTTGTCGCGGAGGTTCCACCAGGATTCCAGCGTGCAGGGAAAGTCGAGCTGAGTCTCAGTGGCCAGTGACTCCTGGGCTTCACCAGGCGCTTTTTATCCCCAGCTCTCCTCCCAGTCCGGAAGCCTGGGGTGGAGAGCTAGGAACTGCGGTGCGAAAACTACGACACTGCTGGGAAGACTTGGGCTCTGTCCCGCCAAGATTAAAGAAAAAAAAAAAAAAAAAAAAAAACGCTGGCGCTGTCTTGGCTGGGACCTTCAACCTTAACTTACAAACAAGCACATTTGTGGAGTTAGAAACAGAACATGAATCTTAGAAGTTTTTTTTTTTTTTTTTTTTGTTGCGTTTTAAAGTTCTCTGTAGTCACCATGCAAGTTACACAGCAGGTACCTTCAGGACCCTGACTGTTCCTGTTTTCTTTTCAGCCTCCCAGCTGCAACTACCAAAGTTTACTATTGTGTTTGGTGGTGGTGTGTGTGAAGGCTGCGTTATTTGCGATTATTTTTTGCTTCTAATAAGTTTAATTTGGTATCTAGGCGATGACTCTTCTGAATTTCACCTGAATGTGAAAAACTCTCCTAGTCTCTGGATGGGATTTACCAGGCTCCACCAACAATCACCCGGGATACTGTAGGACGCAAGGTCTATTTTCTCGTTACTCTTACTCTTAGAAAAATTGCAGAAATAATGTTTGAATGCATAACTTTTTGTAAAATCTTAGCGCCTGGGTGTTTCTTCATTGTTTCCGTCCTGAATAATTGCCCAGAAGAGAGGACAAGGATAGTTTGCCAGGCTACGTCTGCCAGTGCCTGCTGGCAGGCACTGTACCAGTGACAGGGTGAGATGGGCTGCAGTACCAGTGACAGGGTGAGCTGGGTTGCACTTTTGGTGGGGAGCAATGATGCTCTCTGTGGTAGGACTCAGGGTGTCTGTGAGTTGAGGGTGAGAATGCTGGGAGGTGAGGGCGGAGCAGATGCAACAGAATCCCACACAAGAAAGGAGTAGAGATTCATATGGACCATCTTCTCTTCTCTGAAAAAAATGACTTTGGCTCTTGATTAGGGCAACTTCCAGTCTTACAAGCTCCATTTGTGGTAACTGCCCTGTACAGGTTTACCATTTTACTATTTTATACCACATTTTTACCATATCTTTTCTATGTTTACATATGTTCAGATACACAAATACTTCATTGTGTTAAAACTTGCTACATTATTCAACACAGTGACATGCTTTGCAGGTTTATAGCCTGGGAGTAATAGACTGTACTATATAACCTAGTTTTGTAGTAGGCTATACCATTTAGGTTTGTGTAAGCACAACCTATGATGTTCACACAATGACAAAATCACCTAATGATGCATTTCTCAGAATGCATCTCAAGTGTTAAACAAAACATGACTGTATTTTTGAACATCCTGTATCCAATGCAATGGCTGTTGCAGAACCTGTTATAATTCATACATGTTTATGAACCTGAAACTTGAAACCCCTTCTGAGTTAGCAGCAAAGAGGGTGAAGGGGGGCATGGTTTTGCATATGGATGGGCAACGCGCTGGGTTTGTACAATCTTACACCCAGATTTTAATGTTTGTAGTGTTAAGGGATCCAGGTGGAACTGAGTGGCAAATAAATTACAATTTCCCTGCATGTAAACAGAATAGCTCAATACATGCACAGAAAAGTGAAAGACATCTATCTGCATCTCAGAAGGTATAAGCATGGTGTCAACACTATGCCATCTCTCAGGAGCTGATCTTGCCAGGTTTCAGTCAGAAACGACTAGACATAATGAGGGAGAGGCCTGCTATCCTATAATTATTATAGTATATACGATCTGCTATTTATGTATCAAGTTGTATTTTATGTGCCAGTAATACTATGTTGTTTGTAATATAATCTCTTCATTAGAGAAAGAAGAACAGAGGAACGTACTGTGGTACAGTGATTAAGAGCACAATTTGAAATTCCTACTCTATTACCTATTTAGCTATATGAAAGTGGGCAAGTGTTTTAGACTCTTTAAACTTGATTTTTCTTTTCTGTAACACTGGGGGGGATAATAATAATCATAAGGGATAATTACTAACATTTATATATGGTTTATTTGTGACATGCATTATTTTAAGAACCTAAAATTTATTAACTCTTTTAATGTTTCCATAAACTCTATGAGGGAGGCAGTGTTATTATCCCCATTTTAGGGATGAAGAAACTAAGGTAGAGAGATTAAGCAAGAAGACCTGATATACACAGCTAACAAGTGGTGGAGACAAGTTACCTCATTATTCAGACTCCATAGGATGTGCTTTTAATCTATTTTTTAAAAAAATTGTTTAGTTCATGGCTAGCCATATGCAGAAAGCTGAAACTGGGTCCCTTCCTTACACCTGATACAAAAATTAACTCTAGATGGATTAAAGATTTAAACATGAGGTCTAACACGATAAAGACTCTAGAAGAAACCCTAGGCAATACCATTCAGGATATAGGCATGGGCAAGGACTTCATGACTAAAACACCAAAAGCAATGGCAACAAAAGCCAAAATAGACAAATAAGATCTAATTAAACTTAAGAGTTTCTGCACAGCAAATGAAACAATCATTAGAGTGAACTGGCAACCAACAGAATGGGAAAACAATTTTGCAATCTTCCTATCTGGCAAAGGGCAAATATCCATAATCTATTGAGAATTTAAACAAATTTACAAGAAAAAAATAACCCCATCAAAAAGTGGGCAAAGGATATGAACAGACCCAAAGAAGACATTTATGCAGCCAACAAAAATTTTAAAAAGCTCATCATCACTGGTCCTTGAAGAAATGCAAAAAAAAGACACATTGAGATACCATCTTATGCCATTTCGAATGGCAATCATTAAAAAATCAGGAGACAACAGATACTGGAGAGGATGTAGAGAAATAGAAACACTTTTACACTGTTGTGGGGAGTGTAAATTAATTCAACCATTGTGGAAGACAGTGAGGCCATTTCTCAAAGATCTATAAATAGAAATACCATTTCATCCAGCAATCTCATTACTGGGGTATAAAATACCCAAAGGATTATAAATCATTTTATTATAAAGACACAGGCACACATATGTTTATTGTGGCACTGTTCACAATAGCAAACACTTGGAACCAACTCAAATTCCCATAATGATAGAATGGGTAAAGAAAATGTGGCACATATACATCATGGAATACTATGCAGCCATAAAAAAGGATGAATTCATGTCTTTTGCAGGGACATGGTTGAAACTGGAAGCCATCATTCTCAGCAAACTGACACAAGAACAGAAAACCAAAGACCTCATGTTGTCACTCATAAGTGAGTGTTCAACAATGAGAACACACTGACAGAATGAGGGAAACATCACACACCAGGGCCTAGGGGTGGAGGGCTAGGGGAGGATTAGCAGGCGTTGTGGGGAATGGGGAGGGATAGGATTAGGAGAAATACCTAATGTAGATGATGGGCAATGGATGCAGAAAACTACCACCATGGCACATGAATACCTATGTAACAAACCTACACAATCTGCATATGTACCCCAGAACTTAAAGTATAATAAATAAATTTTTAAAAATTGTTTAGTTCATGCATGCAAAACACTTATATTCCTGGCATATTAAAATAATTAATAAATTGGAACTATTATCATACTACATTAAGAATGACACAGATCATCAATTTAGTAACTTTTTTGGATGTACTGTGAAATATCAATCATACAAAAAAAAGAGAAAAATTAAAGCTTTTTTCCCCCAACAGTTCTGTTAAAATTAATAATATACAACAACAAATCAATAGCAAATTTTGATTTCACCTTAGTATTTTTGTAAGAATAGTGTAGGTATAAATGTTAGGGGTTATAAAATGAATGAAAGTCCTATTGATTGAAAAAGTAGAATTAGGTGTCTAGTAAAGTTTAGGTTCTATATTGTATTTATTTATAAGGCTTATTCTAATATTAGAATTGTAACCATGTAGATTTTTCAACCATGTTGAGTGCAAATAAATATCAAGTAAATTCTTTTTTTTCATTCTTCCTTTCTTTTTTTTTTGTTCCAGAAAATTCATAGTTTCTTAAATAGAGTATGTTACTTTGTTTCCATCATCTATTTTTTTGTTCTACTAGTGGCAAATATATTCACTTCAAACTAATAACCCCAGTTTATAAGACTCACATTCACAAATTTATTATTTTAGAGTTTGAAGGCTAAAATAAACATCAGAATAAACTTTCAGATAATAATATAAATAAGCCATCCTAGGACTAAGACACTGAGAGACTCTAAGTTCCTAAATATATTAAGAACACTGTATTGAGCAAGTATTCTGTGTTGGGTTCCATGTGATTCCTATTATTGTTGATCACTATGAAATCTAATCATCATCATCAGTGTGTCTAATAACCATAAAGTAGAGTAGAAAAAATTGACCAAGTTGTGTACGAATAGAAATTGTTAAATAAAAAAATGCAAAGCACAGTCCAATTTAACCAAGAATTACAGAGTTGAAACCAGGCTTATTTATTTTCATCTTGTTTCTGCCATCTTTTAATCAGCCATCTCAGAATAAAATGTGATTTTTGAGACAGAATGAAAAACATATCCACCTTTTAATACAGTAAGAGTAGGTATTCTGATTAAATGACAACTCTAGAAAATCAAGGCTTCAAAAACCTTGAATTTTGAATTAAATCAAAAATTCCTGGGAGTTAAAGAAGTTTGGCACAAACGGAACAGATTAGTCAGTGGATTCATCACCTTCCAATTTTTTCTGTACAATTTTCTTGATTCTGGGAGCATCTGGGTCCAGGCAGATTTTCCTCCCGTCCTTCAGTGTGGCTCTGCAAGAGACAACAGAATTATCTGTGAGTGTGCTGGCCTGAATATCAGAACTAATCCACGAGACTGCAGGAAATGAGTGCAGATGAGGATGGAGATAGAGGATTTCCCTGATGAGGCAATAGCACAGAAGCAGCAACTTACATCACTTCCACTTTGTTGCAATGGATTCCTTTCCCAATCACTTCCAAACTTTGGATGTTTCTGGGATGTATTCCAGAGGTTGTCTTCATACACATGCAGCGCAGTTCAGCATATGAGTCAATATCTCCACTTTCCTCTAGGGTAGAAAATGTGACCTTTTAGTAGTCATGAATATTTTCCTCAGGTCCCTTATTTGCAAATTGAGGGTAACTGTGCCTCTCTCATAAAGCCATTGTGAATATGATCTGTCAATCTTTAGTAAAGGGCCCAAAAGAATGCCCAGCACACATGAAGTGCCCCCTCTGTGTGCTTCCTCCAATTGGAGTTGTTGGTATAATGGCACTGTTCAGCCTCAGGAGCACCAAGCCAGTCTTTACCCCAGACACAGTTATAACAGAAGCATTAATAGGTACAGGGAAGCATCTACCTTTGCTTTTCTCTAAATTTCTCTTAGTTTGTCCATTGCTGGAGGAAGCCAGAGTAGTCAGCAGCAGTGACAGAAGCAGCAGCAGCCGCAGGGCATAAAATGGCCTGGCACTCTTACAAGAAGGGATGGTATCAAGTCTGAGGCTCATGGTGGAGAAGGCTGAGCTAGAGATGTTTCCAGAGCCAGAAGACCTCTGAATGAGAGTGGGTTGCTGCCTATAAGTCTGTACACAAGTGGCTTTTCACGCCCTGAAGATGTCATTTATATGACATCCCTCAAAGCCAGTGAGAAGGAAGAGGCAGGGAAGGAGGAAGTGAGGGTATGTGATGATACACACATTAGCGTGCGAAGCTGTGCCCAACGCAGAAAAATAGCACACAGGTCAAAATTCCTACTAAGTTACATATTACACATCACTTCACATTTCTACTATCCCTTTCTCAATACCTATTTCCCTTAAACATGTGTAAGAACTCTTTAGGAAGGTAAGAACTAGACTGAAATACTGCATGCATTTTCTTTGTATGACTATATAACAATATGCCCTGCCTTTTCTATAATGCAGTTTTTAGGCTTAATAGAAATTTTAGGAGCACCTGAAAGCACAAACATGTGGCCCTTGAAAAAGAGAGTTTTCTTTCCTTTATAGTGCCAAAGAAAGCAAATGTTCTTTTTCTGGTTGTTGATAAATATTGGGATTGGTTTGGAGCATGTGAGTAAAATAAGTCAATTACCATCAAAGGTTGTCTTTGGATTTTAGCCTATTGGATTCTTTCTGCCTTCAATCTATATTATTTTGTAATTTTATCTCATCCAGAACCTACAAAGAAATTCATCCTCCTTTCTATTACAAAATAAGCTACTTGTTTCTGCTACCTAAGAATACCTAAAAAGCAGGACCCAGACTATTTATTTTTATTTTTAATTTAACAGAAAAATGTTATAGTTTATTCCAAAGGATTCATTCACTGCAAACATATTTGAAATAAAACACACAAATTTTTCTTTATCATTTCTTCACATTCCTACTCTTCAGTGGTACACATTGATAACAATTTTGCATTAGTTTTCTATTCTATCTGTATCTGTCTGCATACATGTATATGTATACAGAGAGACACGTTTAATACATAAAGGTACACATATACATAGAAGTATTTTATATGGATCACCATACAGCTGACTTTTTTCCTTCAAAAATATGTGTTCAGTGCCTTTTCATGCCATCTTAATGTAGTTTCCCCGTTCTGCTTAATGATCACATGACATCCTATGGTAAGAACGGCAGTTACTCAACCTCGCCTTGTTGGTACCCTTCAGGGTGTTTCCAGTTTTGCGCTACTAGAAATTGTGCAAGAAATGTCTTTACCAAGAAAAATATTTGTTCCTAAATTCTCAGATCCAAATTAAAAGTTTGATCTGAATTTCTATATCCTTACAAAGATAGAGAGGGTGACCTACACATTACATGTTGGCTTTATGTTATTTTCTGGTTCTCTGTCCCATCTATAAGACTTGCTTCCTCAAGTGAACCATACGCTTTTGTAGGGAGTGGCATGTCCTATGTCTTGTGTATCCTATAACAAGTAGGATACTTCAATACAAAGTAGGTCTTAATTAATAAATCAATGAATATGTATCACATGAAAGTTTCTGAATCCTTTCTAATCACCTACAATTTCCAAGCCAAACTTGACAGTCCCCAAAGCAACCATATTATTTAAATTGATTTTGAAGACTGTCAGTAAATAAGAGGCAGATACAAGTGGCCCTGGAGACAAGTTTTCTCCCTTTTATAACTATGTATAAGTCTCACAGAATGTTGTCTATACTTTCCTTATTCTTTTCTTACTTTTCATATCTTTCAATTTTAGAAGAGATGCTTAAAATATTAAATGTTCAAAATAACTCTCTATCAAAAATATGAATATAGGAAATTTTTTTTTGAATCATGTTTTTGTTTTCAAGCCAATTTTCCCAATTGTTTAATAGTTATCTACTATGTCTACTCAAATTCTCAGGTCCTGTTTCTAAATGTGATAACCTACAGACCACATTTGACGTTTACTTTATAAGCAGACTTCCAAATTAACTTGCCTTGAAAAGGTTCCGTGACTTGATGGTGACTGTCTGTCTCTGATTAAAGTAATTTATTGTGAATTCCTCAAATGGTTGATGTACTAATTAATGTAGAACCTGCTAACACTAAACAGGACAACGATTTATTTCTAAGTTTAGTTGAAACAAAAAGTTTTATTGATTGTTTTGCACTTAGGCATTTAGGCTATATGCTGTAATCTGTAGCTAATGATTTTAACTTCTGTATTGTACACTCCAATAAAAAAGAATACAACTCTGGAATGAGGAGTTTCTTCACCCTTATTTTAAGCTTTTCTGTTATATAAAGCCCTTGTAACTTGTGAAAGACTCTAGAACATCCCCAACTTTGTGGATGTGCCTTCCCAGGTCTATCTTCTCATTTGGCTTTCTACAAACATATATAAAATTACTTCTGCCTCAATAGCCTTAATTTCAGTTGATGAATGTATTTCTTATTTCTCTCCACCCCACTTATTCTTATAAATTAAAGTTTAGCAGTAGAACATATTAAACTGAAATAATTTTTCTCCCTGTCTCAACACAGAAATTATTAGTCTTAATTTAAGACAGAGAGAAGTCCACCAGGACACAGGAAGAGGAGAGCTGGCTTCTAGTTCCTCCTGTGGAATGACTTACAGCCGTTCCTCATTATTGAGATTGAGATGTTGTGAATTCTCAAGTCAGATACATTTTCATTCAAACATAAGATCAAAACCATTTCCACAGCAAGATATAAAGGTTTTAACCCTATGCATAGTATCTTTTATTTTCTGTTCAACCCTCAAACACCATTACTGAGAATATTTACTGGCTTCACTGGACACCTTTTTCTTTCCCTGCTTAATACTATCCAGATTTCTTTACCCATTCATTAGTAAAATTTCCCAAAAGTTTCTAATCATTCCGAGAAAACTGTATGAAAATGTTTCTGAAGTAATGGTGATTTTGGGTGGGTTGATACCAGGAAAGAGGTAGGCATGGAGCACAGTATCATGGAGTCATTGCCTTAATCAACAAATGTGGCTTGTCACAAAAGACATATCATCAAAATTCATGAGGAAATAGTAACAGATTTCTGAGTTGTCAAAATTTCATAAGCATATCAGTTAGCATTTGATATAAAACAGTATTTTGCTAGTCTTTAACTCAAAAATATTGATTAGGCATCAATTGATTACGACTGAACTTGGTAACAGGTTTTATGAAGTTCTCTTTGTGTGACTTGGTCATTTAACTATTTATTTTTTAAAAATTAGGCCTAAAGTATTTTGTAAAGCAACGGGATATTAAAAATACTCTACTCTTGTTACTATGATGACCACTGTGCTGTTAACTGCTGTTACTGTCATTTGCATCATTCCCTTCCATTTCCATGGTGAGAAACGCAGTACAGATGATGATAAATTGAGTGTACAGAAATGGTTAAAATATATTTTTAAATAACTTATTCAGTTAAAAGCATTATACAAAATTATTATTTAAATAAATGCTAGAAGTAGAAAAGAGTTATTTTCTTCCTTGCTTTTAAAATAACTTGACAACCTTTTTATTAATCTTGCTTTGTCATTGTGGGTTTATGTATGTGTGTGTTGGGGGGTGTTAAGTTATTTTAGCTCTTTTTTCTTTAAGTCATCTTATAAATAGCAGAGTCATGCGGGAAGCAAGCAAATTATCGAAGACCCAGAGCACATTTTATGTTAGCTATTTTAAAAGGAAATATCCTAGAGACCCTGGAGGACCACTATCTATAAAATTAAGACATAGACTAGCTCTTCTCTGCCTCACACAGAACATTTTAAACGCACATTTTTCAAATCCTTCTTTCAAGTATGAAGGAAATAGACTACCACCTCCAAATCAATCATAAAAGCAATTGGTACAGGAAATGCTAAGGATAGTACAATTTTGAGTCTGTTTGTTAAAGTACATTAATCAATGAATTTAAAATACTACCCATCAAATTTTTTTCTATAAGTGCTGAAACCAAATGTGCTTACTGTATAACTGTGAGTTGACAAGAATTGGTCAGACATCAATTACTCTGACACTCTAATTAATTGAGGTTTTACTGTCTACTGCCCAGAGATGAAGCATGGGGTGAAAGTGAAAGGAGAATGGAGAAGGTGAAGGAGTTGAGGGGGAAGTATCTTCCTGGTGCTATTACATACAAGCACTTCAAAGTTTTGCAGGCCTCAGAATTTGTGTTTTAAATTATGTTAGTTAATATCATTTGTTAAATCTAAATGTATGAAAGTTACCTAGCTTCCATTCATACTCATTCATTAAGAAAATTCTAACATATGTTGTTCTAGAGCCGACAAACATGTTAAATTGTTACCAAGTACCATGAATCCTCTTTTGTTGTGTAATAAGTCAACCTCCTAGTGGCTTAAAATATTAATATATTATTTCTGATAATCTGTATGTTAGGTTGAGGTTCTTCTGCTAAGTTCGCTTGAACGCAGTCAGAAGCAGCTGAAATGCATGATAATAAAAAGTAGGACAACAGGGTGCTAATAGCCAATAATAACAATTGTATATTTTAAAATAACTCATAAAGAGTGTAATTGGATTGTTTGTGACCCAAAGGGATAAATGCTTGAGAGGTTGGATACCTCATTTTCAATGTGTTTATTTCACATTGCATGCCGGTATCAAAACATCTCATGTATCCCATAAATATATACATCTAATAAGTACCCACAACATTTTTTAATAAGAAAAATAATAAATAAATTTATTATTGTTTATTTATAGAGGTGGTTGGTGTTGACTGCTTGCTGTGATTTCTGCTGGGGCAACTGGGTTCTTCTCCTACTCTTTTAAATATAATTATTCGACTTCTCACTAATAAGCAGAAATGAGAGATGGTGGGGAGAAGGAGAATGGCAAGAGGAGAGAAGGGAAGAGAAGAAGAAGGAAAAAGAGAGAAGGAAGAAAATAGAAAGCAAAAAAAAAAAAAAAAACCACAAGCCAAAAGCCCTTCCAACACCCTCCTCCTCTCATCCTTGTCTCCTCTAGACTTCTCTTCTAGTTCTTCCTCTCACCTCTTCTCCCCTTTCTTCCACGCTTCTTACTGGAAAATCTTTGTTCTGTGGGAAAACTAAGTATATTTGCAGCAGAAAACCATAACTTAGACTGAAAATTTCTCATTTTTATAATTTCCAGATCGTAAGGACCCTGCACAGATAATAGGCATTTAAACAAGATTATCGATTAATGTAATTAAATTAGTATTTGATTGATGAATATTAATACAAAGGAAAATGCTTCATATATTCTGATAGGTACTATTAATTTATTTTCGATATACAGAAAATATATAGTTTCCAGAGCTTCTTTAAAAAGAATCATTTCTAATTTATAAAAGCACATGCCTATGTAAGCATGTGCAATATAATCCAACTGTAGTGTGAATGTATGCACATACATACTAATGTGATTAATCTTCTTTCTTTCATTTTCTTGTGTTTCCTAAAGAAGCAATTTTCTATATAAATACCTATTTTTAGGTAAATTTGAGGGACAAGGGAATTTGAAGTACTGATCAGGATTGGGGTGAGACAGAACCTCATTTGTTATTTAGATAGGGAACTCTTAAGTATGAATACCTAAGAATATATATTCAAATGCAATTGCTCTTTTAATTTTAGAGTGACAATGGGATTTATTTAGCCTAGATCACTCGCTTTTTGAATACCTATTATGTGCTAGGCACTGTCCTAGGAACTGAGATGAAGTTGATAAGCATTGTCCCTGCCCTCATAAAGCTTACATGAAGCTAGAATAGATAGACCCTAAACAAATGACACTAAACACATAAGCTCAATAAACTCTCCCGTAACTTTGGTGAGAAAACCTTATGAAGGAAAAATATAGAGTGCAATGAGAGGGTATAAAAGGGGTCTCCTCAAAGGTAGGAGTAAGGGTTGGAGAGGTTTCTTCAAGGAAGTAAAAGGGAAGCTATCTCAGAAGGAAGGAAGGAAAGTGAGGGGAGGTGTTATAGATTGAGAGGATTGTGCATACCAGAGCCCTTGTTTGGCTACTGCTAGACAAGAAGGAGGAAAGAGGGTAGACAAGTTTTAATTTAATTAAAACTGGGCACAGTGGCTCCCACCTGTAATCCCAGCAATTTATGGGGGCTGAGGCGGGTGGATGACCTAAGGTCTGGGTTTCAAGATCACCCTGACCAACATGGTGAAACCCCACCTCTACAAAAATATAAAAACTAGCCGGTCATGGTGGTAGGTGCCTGTGATCCCAGCTACTTGTGAGGCTTGGGTGGGAGAGTCACTTGAACTTGGGAGATGGAGCTTGCAGTGAGCCAGGGTCATGCCATTGCACTCCAGCCTGGGCAACCAAGCAAGACTCAATCTCAAAAATAAAAACCAAACAACAACAACCACCTACATGATCCAGGTTATTGAACTGATAGCCTGAAGATCAGGATAATTTATTCATTCATTAAGTCATGCATTGAGGCTACATTGGGGATGCAGAGGTAGATATAATATGATTATTGCTCTGGGAGAGCTTGCGTAGATGAAGAAACCTATAAACAAATAAGAGTTATGCAGCATTCTTGTTGTAATTCAGATAATGAGATGTTACGGGAGCATCAAAATGGAAGCCATGAGCTCTATCAAGGAAAACGCAAAGGAGTTATTACTTGAGCTGAGTTCTTAAGGATGAATAAATCTCCTCTTACATGCAGAAAAGGGGTAAGTGCCTTCCAGGTAGTGGTCCTAGCAAATGCACAGTCATGGGCCTGGGAAAGCATGCCCAGTTAGGGAACTGAATGGCTGACTATAGTGAATTTGAGGGGCAAAGGAAGTTGAAGTGCTGATCATGAGTGGAAGGAGACAGAAAGAACATCATCTGTCATGCTTAGCAGTCTTAATTTCGTGTCTAGGAAACAGTGAGCCAGTTAAAAATTTATATAGGGAAATCCTATTCTATTTGTTTTTTCTAAAGACCCCAGAGGCTGTTGGTTCTGTGACAGAGTAACTGGAAGAGAAGTGAGCTTGGAGAAAGGTTGAACCAAGGCAATAGTATTAGAGATAAGGGACTTCTCTGCCAGCCAGAGAGGAGCAGAGTTACTGTTTCAAATTATATTGAATTGAAGATAAGTAAAATGTATTGTAACGGTATAGGAAGGAGAAACCATATGAGTGAAGTTCAGAAATCTTTTATTGTTATTTCAAAGGACAAAATAAAGACTATGAACCAATAAGATGAATAGTAAAAAAGTACAATTTTAATATAGTGAATATAAACATACATAATTCCTCATAAAAAGGTCAAAACCTTTAAAAGATACAGAAAAGACATCTAAAAATCTGCCATGCTATGTATATAATACATATATATAATATATAAGTATGTATTTTTTACCAATAAGTGTTTTATTTTTCTTGCAGTAGCTTTGTTAATTGCACAAAATCATGTTTTATTTTGGCCATTTAAATATTATCACACAAACTTATTCTGAAAGACAAATGTTCATTTAAAACAAAGCAAAAATAGGAATTCACAATCTTAATTACTTAGATTTGTCATTTAAAGCTTTAAAGAAAAAAATGGGAGGGTCTTTCTTATAAGCTTTTTTCACAAGCTTCACATTTTCTCCTTAGAAGGAAAGGATTTCAAAACAAACGTGAAATAGCTTAAACAGAAATGTTCATAAAAAGGAATTCTGCAGAATTGTCAGCGATATTTAAGACAACATTGACTAACTGGTTTCATTACAGTATCTTTCTCTCCCCCATCCACCAGGACTAGAACAGGCTTTGCATTCAATAATTTCAATTACTTGAAATAATTCAAAATCCCAATGAAATTAACTGTGCTAAAAACCCAACAGGCATCTTTCCTGCCCTTCCCCCTCATCTCCTGCAATCCTCTAACCCAGGTTCTACTCTGTGAAAGGGGCCAAACCTGTGAGCAGGGAGGGACCTCACTCTTGTGTGGCCACCTTCTATATAATTATATATTCCACCACAAATGCTGGCCTTCTGCAAATTATGGTTTTGGAAAATCAACCCACGCAGAGGGATAAAAAACTGACATCCCTTGGGTGACTTCTCCTTGTTTTTTTGCAGCATTCCAAGCCCCCTCTGGTCCCCTTTCCAAGGAGAAATGCTAGGGCCTTGAGATGTTGCTATATATTTTTTGAATTAAGTGATAAATTTATATTAAAATTGTTTGAATACATTTTCAAAACTTTCAGAATACAGGTCATTGTTAAGTTTGCCTTTACTTTAAAAACTAAAAGAATGCATTTCTATATAAACTAGCAGTCAGGAATTTGCCTTTTTTCTAGCTTCTTCGTCTATCTGAAATACATATTTAGTTACCAGTATTATAGTACTCCTAACCAAATAGTTAATAAATAGCATATAAAGTCAAAGTTTAAAAGTAAATGATGGCATTTTGCCATACTAAAAAGATACAAAATGTCTAAAATTGTATATAGAGAAATATTAGTCGTCATATAACTTAAACTTTTAGAAATTCTGAATAACAAAATATATTCTACGCAGATAAGGTATGATATACTCAACTTTCTAATGCAAAATAGTTAAATAATATCCCATGATCAAGAATAAGAAAATTCTCTAACATATTCCCCAAGAAACATTAAAATATTTCTTATTTCTTAAAATAAGATAAAGATAACAGTGAATCTCCATCAACAGAATTCTTATGAAACATCATTTCCATATTACATCCACAGCCTTCTCAGTTAACAGTTTAAGGAATGTTTCTTGGAAATATAATAGTCAACTTCAATTCAAGACACTTTAAAAGATTAACAACCAGTGATTCTTGGCTCACACTATAGTCAATAGCCAAAAACTTCAATAGCATAGCAGATAAAATAACAGCAAGTAGCTGAGGTACTATGCTAAACACTTCATTAGCTGAGCTGAAAACTTAAGGGATAAACATAGGTTTTCCTCACACTCAAAGTAGGAATCTAGGAAGAAAGCTAACTACTGGAAAAGAAGAAAAAACACCTTCCTTCTCATCTGGACCTCCCTGGGTCCAGAGACCTCCAGAAAACTGCTCTGCTGAAGACTGGGCAATTTTCCATGTTGCTCGTTTCTCTTAATCAGTTTTCCTGTTTCCACTGTTGAGAAAATAGTTGTATTAGTTTAACCACTTTTCACACTCCTGTCTACTCCACCCTGTTGTCAAAACTCAGTGTTATAATGTTTGGTTAAAAGAAAGAGTACTGTGGCTCACGCCTGTAATCCCAGCACTTTGGGAGGCCCAGGCGGGTGGATCACGAGGTCAAGAGATCGAGACCATCCTGGGCAACATGGTGAAACCCTGTCTCTACTAAAAATACAAAAATTAGCTGGGCATGGTGGCACGTGCCTGTAATCCCAGCTACTCAGGAGGCTGAGGCAGGAGAATTGCCTGAACCCAGGAGGCGGAGGTTGCGGTGAGCCGAGATCGAGCCATTGCACTCCAGCCTGGGTAACAAGAGCGAAATTCCGTCTCAAAAAAAAAAAAAAAAAAAAAAAAAAAGAAAAGAAAAAAGAAAAAGAAAGTATATAAAAATCAACAAAAGCAATGGGTAAACAAAAAAACATAACTTAGTGGCAAGTTGTGTGTAATTGCTCAAGTAGTTATATGTAAGATTGGTAACAAAGATTTTCCCAGGACAATCCAGAAGAACTTTCTCAAGTTAACAACCTTTTAATTCTAAGCGTGGAATATGTTACCTAAATCGTACAGAGTGTAAAGACCTTGTGAAATCTATGGTCTCCCTGGATGAGGTTTAAAAACCACAAAGATCAAAGTGACAAGTACCCGTCCAAAATTTTCTGGATGACTTTCTTTAGAAAAGGGGTTTCTGGATCAAGACAAACTTCCTCCCCGTTCTTCATGGAGGCTCTGAAGGAAAGAGAAAGAAGATGCACTCATGAGACATGAAGGCTGAAGACCCAGGCTGGGGGACTTCTCTCTTGCCAAGGTCACAGTGGACACAGCAACACAGGAGAACTTACATCACTTCCACCTTGGAGCACTGCGGGCCTGGGGCGAACACCTGCAGATTACTGATCATTTTGGGGGGATCTCGCTGCGTAGTGTGTAAACAAATGCAACGCAGCTCTCTCAACACAGCAGCGACAGGACCGGCTGGGGAAGAAAGAGAGACACCTTTATAGCGCAGGTTGCTGGGAGAATTCCCTGTAAAGCAGCAGCCCCGCAGAGGCTGGGATGCAGGACTTGCCCTAGTGCGTCCCGCGTGCCCTGCGCTCTCAACGCTGGCGAGGGGCCCGGCGCTGTCAGCAGCAGCAGCAGCAGCAGCACCAGCGCCAGCGGTGCGCACAAGGAGCCGGAAGGACCAGGGAGACTGGCCGCGCGGCTGGACAGGAGGCTCATAGTGGTCAAGAGAGCGCTGCGAGGGGGCGCGGGCTCCGGGAGGCGCAGAGATTGGGGGACCCGGAGCACTGTGGCTTCCTCATGCCTTCCGCACTCCTTTTATTTTCACTCATCCCTTCCGCCTGACAGGAAACTCAAGCTTTGGGATGCTGGGGAAATTTCCTGAACTCAATGTGGAAAGAAGAGATTGGTGGAAGGGGACCGGATGAAGGGAACTGGGGAGGAAAGTGGCCTGGAGGAGCTGCCTGTACCCCTACGGAGGATATTGTAGCCCTGCCCCGAGACGGAGGAAGCTGTGGCTCCATCCAGAAGGGAGCAGAGATTCATCAGGGCCTGATCTCCTGGGCCTGAGGTGGCCAGGGATGCCGGCTTTTCTAAGGCACACAGGGTCTGGGAGATGCTCCTCCTCTCCTTCTAGAGAGAAAAGATGGAACCAAAGTAGTGGGAGCTCTGATAGGAGAAAAATTTCTAAAAGTCAATCCTTTCTCATTAGTATTACTATTATTCAGGAAATGTTATTCATGTTTAGAATTGCTCTAAACTGAAAGTCCTTCCTCTTTTCCTTGCAGGCAGGTCATTCTAGGTTTCTTGAATGACTTTATGATTATCTGGACTTCAGCCAGTTTTAGAAGCCAACATAATGTGATAACAAGAGACTGTGTCTCTGTTGCCACTCGAAGTCAGTGACCTGAAAGGACCACTGAGTTTTAACTCCCCCACAGATCACCTTCTTTGGTGAGTAAGTCCACTTACTGAGAATTCTCTAATTGTAGTACAGCAGGTATATGTGTGTCCAGGTAGTTAAAACAAAAATCTTCCAAAATCACCCAGCAAATTGTCATGCAAGATAATGTACTTTTGGCAGTTGCTGTGCTATTGAATTTGAAGAGGTTTTGGCCTTATTGAGGGTGAGGTATAGTACGGTGAGCACAGACTAAAGCTTGCCAGGGAGCCCAGGCCTGCTCCAGCTCTGTCCCAAACCCTAGGTGTGTATTTGACACCATTTGGAGATGCTGTGGGAGGCTGATGTGTTTGAGGGACTCTGTGAAAGCTTTTTTTTTTTTTTTTTTTTTCTTTATTTTGAGATGGAGTTTCCCTCTTGTTACCCAGGCTGGAGTGCAATGGCGGGATCTCGGCTCACTGTAACCTCCGCCTCCTGGGTTCAGGCAATTCTCCTGCCTCAGCCTCCTGAGTAGCTGGAATTACAGGCACGTGCCACCATGCGCAGCTAATTTTTTTGTATTTTTAGTAGAGACGGGGTTTCACCATGTTGACCAGGATGGTCTCGATCTCTTGATCCCGCGATCCACCCACCTTGGCTTCCCAAAGTGCTGGGATACTTTTAGGGGGTTGCATCAATTTGACAGCACAACAGCACTCACTCTGTTTTCCCCCAAACAACTTCATGGGGGGAGGAACATTCCCCACAGGCTTTTGAACCATCTTGTTTCATGATTACTGGTGACAAAGACTGTTTCCACAGACCTGCTCTAGTCCCCATTAAGCCCTGCACTGCCACTTGAGATTGAAGGATCAAGTAGCTTCCAGCTTCCTCTCTCTCTCTCCTTCTATTATCTGTGGAGGAGTTAAAGCACTGAAGGTTTAAGCGTCCTCTACTCTCTTGCTCCATAGCAGGCATGGCTATGGCACTGGAAGGGCACACAGGCTTTCTTTCACATAAATCTAACTAGATCCTCTCCTGGCTGGTTCTGAAGACCGTTGACCTCACAGCAGACCAGCAAAAGTAATCAGTAAACATGATGGCAATGAGAAACCAGTAACAAAACACAACTCTTTTACTTGTTTCCTGTGATACCAGGAATTTTATTACCTCCCCACCCATCATCTCCATTTGTGAGCAAGAAGGAGGTGTCATAGACCTTTACAACTTTTATTCTGGAAGAAAACTTAAGAAATTCACTGGCTGAGGAAGGTTGGGTGGTATGGTCCTTACTCTGTGGGAAGCTAAATGAGAAGTTCTCACAGCTTCCTGACACCATCAGTGTCATAGATAACTCAGCAAATGGAATCCTTCATCTTTCTGGAGAGTGATAATCTGTAGAAAACAGCCTGCAGATTTAGTATATTGACATTTTAGAGATTAGCATGTATCTAAAGACAACAGATAAGTCTTGTTGAAGTGGTAAGACTTTAAAAAATTCTTGGGCAATTAAATTCAACCTAACCACGGGGAATAAATCACAGTATAGGACTGTTTAAAAAAAAAAAAACTTCATTTAATTACATAGGTTATTGACTTTTACACCGTGTGTGTGTGTGTGTGTGTGTTTAGGTTAGTTCTAAATAAGCTGCTTTAAACCTAAGTGAACATATAAATTTGTTTTTGGCACCAAATGGTGAAATTAGAGAAGGATCATGAGACAAGATTGCCAGTTCCTACTGATGGTCTTATAAATGTATATATCTCACCTGGTTTGCACTCTGAATCAATTCACCATAGCTTTTTGATGGAACACAAGAAGAAAAAAATATTTCTGTAGCTGACAAGCAGGTGATAAAGTCCTCACTAGAAGTGGGCTGCTGGGTTGCCCAATCTAATCAGGAAGCAATATATCATTTAACCTGCCTTCTCATGGAAATCACTCTGGCCCACTGCCTATGTCTGGCTCCCATGTAGGCATCTCAGATGTTGTCTTTATACAAACGTGGATGGTTGAAAGGTCCTCTGTGCTGAGCATGACAGCACCAAGAACCACTGAAGACTCAGCACTCAGTAATTGCCTCTTTATCACCAGTTTAAACAAAAGTCATTTGTCTTACCTGCACTGCATCCAGGTTGCAGAGAAAAACTCTGTGCTATTTTGTTCCTGACTAAAATAGAACAATTCATCCAATGGTATCAGCATCCTGATAGCCTGAAGGTTTAACTGTCTGTCTAAAGCAATCCTATTTTAGTCATTATACCACAGTATAATGTAATATGAATGAATACGGTATAAATGGTTTTTGGCTTCCAAAACACTTCCATGTTTATTATATCTTGAGCTTCACATTAATTCTTAGATAAGAGAAATTTCCCCATTTTTGCAGCTAGGCAAAATGAGTTAAGTAGTCAAAAATCCAGCACTGGCAGTCAAGCACCATTACAAACCACATTCTTCTCAGTTGCTGGCAAGCACTCCCCAGTGGATCTCCACAATGTGGCTAACCACTTTATTGTGTTTCCCGATAACCACATTTTAAGTTGTTGAGACCCCCAATCCTTCCACTCCTTTCTTTGAGATTGCAATAGCATCAAAGGTCCTAGAGGCTTCTAAGATATTCCACCTGAAACCGTCCTCTGCTTTCTAAATCCCTCACTTTCTTCCAGGTAGATTCAAAGTCCTTTCTTCTTTGAGAAGGCTTATTCTGACAAAGTCATTTGTAAGGTATTCCTTCACCTTTGCTCTTTGAACCTCTAGTGTACTTGTCATAACTACCTCATGAGACAGCGTTTAATTATTCCTTAATTTTGCCTTTGTCTGCCTCAAGTCAACTACAAACTCCTTAGAATCAGTGATGGCTGGCATTTCTCACATAACCTCCCATAATTTCCTAGATGAGTAGAAAGCAGTCTATGAACACTTGGTGATGAATAATGATAATATCTTTTTTTAAAAAATTACAGTGTTCTTTATCTTACAAGTAGATATTAAAGAGGAAAGGATGGAGCTGTTTATTATCATTAACTCCTCTATTTTTCTAAACTTTACAATTTTGAATTGGCTGCCTCCTATGTGCGAAATTATTTCTTGGTTATTCTTAGAGAAAATTAGAATGATATTGATATTTTCATCCTTTGGAATCCAAACTGTTCAGAATAATGTTAAAAGAAATAAAATTATACAACTAAAATATTGACCAAATAACATAGTTTCTGTAACATTGAGACTGTTGGATGTAAATGACAAGTGGAAATTCTGATTATGTTATACAATGTTGAATGTTAACAGTGTGGGTAGGTCATACATTATCTCAGAAAAGCCTTAAATTATATGATTTAGTATTTAGCATAGGCCTTTTCAAATGTTTTTCTGAGGTTCTACTTTTTTTCATATCCAATATTCTTTATATTATCTTTAAGAAATGCTATACAATTGCAGTAACTAAGGATGTGAACACAGTATTATCAGGTTAAGCATGTCAAGGGTATTAATATAAGGAAGGCAATCAGAGTTTAAGTGGAGGATAGAGTTACTTGTATGCAAAAGAAAAGAAAAAAGTTAGTAACGCTTGGTTTTATGTTGCAATGTAAATGCAGCCTGTCTGTCTCTTTCTACATTGGGCTCCAGTTCAACGAAGAAGCAGCATCACCCAGGGAATAACTTTGCTTCAAAGTTGCTTCACCTTTATAAAATGTCAGGAATATTTTATTGCCTTTTGCCAATTATCTAATTTTCCTTGCTGTCTGTTTCAGGTAATATCTGCTGGAGAAGTAAAGTCAGTGAATCCTGATTGAGTCTATACTGAGCTAAATTCCAAATTATCATACCTGGGCTTTTCTTTCCTATCTTCTGTGTGGCTAGGGCAGCTAGTTATCTGTTGTCCAACTGTGCAAACCTTAGAAAAGTTTTTGTTGGCCAATAGAGTTGATACATGAGGGAAAAAGATCACAATTTAAATTTTAAGTGTTTCTGAGAAGCCTTGAGCTTCTCAGAAACAGGAAGTCTTTATTGATTTCTTCAGAAATTTGTTCTGGGCTAAGCGCACACACACACACACACACACACACATATAATTTCATTTTAAGTTCTGAGGTACATGTGCAGATCATGCAGGATTGTTGCATAGGTACATACATGGCAATGTGATTTGCTGCCTCCTTCCCCATCACCTATATCTGGCATTTCTCCCCATGTTATTCCTCCCCAACCTCCCTACCCCTGCTGTCCCTCCCCTTTTCCCGCCCAACAGACCCCAGTGTGTGATGCTCCCCTCCCTGTGTCCATGTGTTCTCATTGTTTAATACCCACCTATGAGTGACAACATATGGTGTTTGA